GAAAATTGAAGGAGAAGAAGAAAACCCTACCTTGAATCCTTGCCCAAACAACCTCTTTTCCTCCCGGAATTGCTGCAGCCCTCTTTCCAAAACCAAATTGCTGCAAAAGAGTAATGTCCACCATTGAGAAGGCTTGATTGTGCTTGTCCTTATACTCCTTAGGTAGGTTACAAGATTCGGAGACCAAAAATATAGAAGAACTTCACTTTGAGCTCAAATTTGCATGTTAAAAGTTGGGCCTATGAAGGAATCCGAAAATGGGGTTTTGAGGGAAGCTCAAGGTTCAACTTTTCTAAAACCAAATTAGGTTGTAACGTTAAAATCCACAGAATTCAGCCACCAAACGAAGGAAAACATCAAGGCAAAAATCAAATTTTCGGATTAGAAAAGGAAATAAGAGAATACCCTACAAGAAATCTCTTAGGATTCGGATTACTTAGAAAAACTTATGAAAATCTGAAATTTGAACCAAGTATTGGATTTTGGAGACAAAGGATAAACAAAATCAAAATCTCATACCTCTTTGATCTTGCAAAACCACCTTCACACTTCAAGCAAATCAAAGCTCTTCTTCTTTTTTTTTTTTTTTTTTTTTTTTTTTTTTCTGGAATGGAGAGAGAGAGAGAGAGAGAGAGAGAGAGTCGGATGGGAAGATGAGAAAGAAAGAGTGAGAAACGTGAAATGAGGTTGAGGTTTGAGAGAGATTGAGAAATTGAATTATTTTTTTTTCTTCTTATGTTACTCCATCCCCTCCTCAACGTGGCCAGAGGAGGGAGATGAGTGGCATGGCTGAGGTTCTAGCCATGCCACGTGAAAGGGCAGCTGGCCCTGTTTTGTTTTTTTGTTTTTGTTTTTTTTTTCTTAATATTACAATATGGCCCCCAACTACGAAAATTCTTTCAATCATGCCCCCTAAAGCCTTGCAATTTAGTCCCTAAACTCTTTTATCATTTCTCTTACAATTCCTTCATACAAAATTAGCACAAAAGTTTAAGTCTGAAAATTGGGATGTTACAGCAACTGGGGCTGATAGAAAGGTGTGAACTGTGGGAGTCTATCTTGACTAGAAATAACACCCCTTTGAGTCTGCTGAGTTTGCTAGGTTTGCTGGCTCACCTGTTGACTCCTATGAGGACAGTTTCTCTTTATATGCCTTAACTCCCCCATAATGGTGGCACTTGTAGTTGTAGGGTCTACTCTTCCTACTTCCCGAAGAGCTGCTACTACCGCTAGGTATCCTCCCACTACCTTGTCCCTGATCGCGACTCTTTCTGTTGTTTCTCTGGGGTCCTCCTGAAGTTCTGCCTGAGGTTTTCCTACTCTGGAGGAAAGCAAGGTGCTCTTGTGCAACGCAGATGGCCGCTGTAACCAAGTCACTATAGACTCAATGCCTTAAGGCCACCACTGACTTTTGAATTACGCCTTTAAGGTCTCTTTCAAACTTGAGACACTTCATGTGCTTAGACTCAATTAAGGAAGGAGTAAAGTGAGACAACTCATTGAACTTGGCTTCGTACTCCCTTACTGACATGTCCCCTTGTTGTAGGCTCATAAATTCCATGGCCTTCTCATCTCGGTAGCTCTGAGGAAAGAACTGCTCATTAAAGAGTGCTTCAAATTGTTCCCAGGCCATCCCGGCAGCATCATGCATTCGCCGAATCTGCTTCCACCAAGAAGGATAAGTGAAATACAAAGGTGAAGGAAGTAAAATGATTTCTCTCATGTAGTTTAGTAGAAGAGAAAGAAAAGTGAAAAAAATCAAATCTAAATCATTTTACAATAATACCCCAATATAAATAAAAATATAATGAATGACGAATGTTAAAATTGTTATTTTATACCTCATTTGTTTGTCTGACTTTTTCTCTCCTCTTTTCTTCTCAATGTTAGAAAGATTAAAAATTAGTGGGTCCCATAAATTTTTATTTTCCTTTCTTCTTTATTTTCTCTTTACCAAACAACTTAAAATTTCATTTTTCTCTCTAAAATCCTTTATCTATGTTGTTTTCTCTCTCTTTTCCACCATACTAAACACACTGAAAAGCTAGGTGAACCGACCTTCCTTTTGAGGCTAACCTCAACCTAGCCCGAATATTCCTTTCAAACTGGGTTGAGTCAGGCGATTTCAAACTTTCAACTATACCATTTCTAAACAACTATAGGATAGATAGGACAATTGGGCTTTTTTTTTTCTTTTATTATTTTTTTTTTAAAAAATCATGATTCATGATTCGCTACAATATTTTTTTTTATAAAAAATATACGTAAATTAAAAATTATTCTAATCTAATAATTTTAATTCATAAACTAAACGGGCTCTTGACTTAGCACCACATTCACAGGTGTGTCAAGAAAATTGCGTCAACGAAGAATCTTTTACTATATTGCTCAAACAAGTCCAGTAACAAACAAATAAGGTTAACGTCAGAGCAAAGAAAGAAAGAAAAAAAAAAAAAAAAAACAAGATTAACGTAAATTTCACATAGATCAACTGTAAAACTGAAATTCCAACGGTTGGTTTTAAACGTAAAAGCTAATGCTTGTTTAACCTAACATTTAAGCCATAAAAATTGACTAATGATTGCTTTAATCTACTATTGGTCGGTCAGTTGTGCTTACCACGTCATCACCCTCGCCTCGTCGTTCACTTTCTCGCAAGTAAGTCGGTTGGTGAAATCAACGAAGAAGCCAACAAAAAACCCATCAATTTCTCACACCTTCAGTCACAATCAAAATCGAAATCGAAATCTGTGCATTCACCTGAAAACAACCAATAAGGAAACTGTAATGACGGTTTTTTTTTTTTTTTTTTTTTTTTAAGTTTAATTTCCTTCTGTTAACTAGTAATTATCATCTATAACTATAAGTAATCAATCAACTCCCTAATTGTATGCATACACACACATATATATATGTACAAACACATGAACATATATTAATGAATCCATATGATTCTTCATTATGGAATGTGATGTTTCTTTATTTCTTGCTTCTATCAAATTCCATGACAAAACATATATATCTAGAGACGTATACATATAAATAATTTTTGCCTCCCAAAGCTTGTAACTTGAGTTCTCAAGTCGGTTCCTTTATCGTTGTTTATAAGAACAAATATGTGTATATATATATATATCATATTGATGAAGATGGATATAGTTCCACTAACTTGTTAATATATTCGTTGTTTTTTGTGTCATGTCCCCTTATGATTATTAATAGTCTAAAACAAGAAAAGAACGTAATTAGACAAGAACAAGACATATAGCTTAGACAAAGCCCTCCTCGATGCGCAATCCCAAACCTGTAAATTAATTATAAAAATAACTAATAAGAACATGCATGCTATCATATGAATTTTTTTTGTTAGAATTTTTAAATCCTAATAGTAATTGACACTTGATATAGTTTATTCAAGTACAATATAAAACGAATTAGATTATTGCACAATATTGATCGGTATTGAAGCGTGAGAATTGACCGACCCACCAACAAAGATCCCTATATATATATATATATATATATATATATAGAAAATGCTAAATATCTTCCGTTATCCTTAAAACATAATGCTTACAGTTGATTTTTTTTTTCCTTTGAAAAATGTTAAATATACTAATTATCACTGGTTTTTCAATCAATTAGAAATTTGTCGTGTAAAACTTATATGCGTGTGGAGCTGACATATGATTCTGTGATTGGTTTAATTTTGATGGAAATATATACCTTTTTTTCCCTCTTTAAATTTAATATATGATGAATGCTTTCAAATTATGTGTATAGTTTTTGATTGCTGCTTCACTGCCGAAGCTTGGGATGAGGAGAACTACAAGGTTTACGTTGGTAACATGTTTAGTCAACTTCGAGATCACTTCCCAGATGCTTCGATCTTAGTGTTCAATTTTCGGGAAGGAGAAGGGCAGAGCCAGATGGCTAAAATCTTGTCCGAGTATGACATGACCATAATGGACTACCCTAGGCACTTCGAGGGTGTTCCAGTGCTTAAAATGGAGGTGATCCACCACTTTCTGAGGTCATGCGAGAGTTGGCTCTTGCTTGGGCATCAAAACGTGCTGTTGATTCATTGTGAACGTGGCGGTTGGCCTGTTCTGGCCTTCATGCTGGCTGCACTCTTGCTTTACAGGAAGCAGTACATTGGGGAACAGAGGACATTGGACATGGTCTACAAGCAGGCTCCTTGGGAGCTTTTGCATTTGCTGTCGCCATTGAATCCAGTTCCTTCTCAACTTCGGTATCTGCAGTATGTCTCGAGGAGGAGTGTAGTGTCAGAATGGCCTCCAGTCAATAGGGAACTTGTGTTGGACTGCATCATTCTTAGGTTCATTCCAGATTTTGATCGTTATGGAGGGTGCCGTCCTATATTTCGGATATATGGACAAGACTCAGTCGCTGGTGCAGACCAAGCTACTAAAGTATTGTATTCTACTCCAAAAAGAAATAGACTCATCCGGGCTTACAAGCAGGTTATTCATACTTCCCTAAACTTATATAATCTAGGATTTCTTGAGAAAAGAAAATTGCATTTTTGTTCTGTTTTAGCCAGCTAAAGAAGAGGGAGATCAAGAGGCAAAAGACTTAACGAATTGGAACCAAACTTTTTGTAACTTCTTTTTTTGCCTTATCTAGTGGTAGTGTTACTTCTGTCTAATGCATTACCCTTTTTGGCTGAAAGAAGTTACTTTAAAGTTTTTGCTACTATAGTTAGACGAAGCCAGGAAATTTTGTGAGGGGGGCTAATCACTACAATAAAAATCTGACTAAATGTAGTTTAATGAATAGATATGTAGATTTTGTTTAAAAAAAAAAAAAAAAAAAAAGAATAAAATTGTGGTGGGTGGGTTAAATTAAGTTTCCATATTTTTAATTGGGGTTATATTGTAATTTGCGACAATACATATATAGGCCTCGTTCGTTTCGCTGATTCGAGTTTAGAATTCGAGTTTTGCTACAGTAAAAAGCTCTCACAAACAATCACATCTAACTTTTTTGCTACAGTAAAAAGCTCTCACATACAATCACATCTCAACTCGAATTCTAAACTTGAATCAGCGAAACGAACGAGGCCATAGATTTTTAAAAAGAATGACAAGTTGAGGGGGGGCATAAATTCCCTCCGTCCTTGGACTTACTTTACAGTTTGATGTTTAATAGTTCACGGTTGATAATGTTGCAGCAAGAAAGTGAAATCATAAAGATTGACATCAATTGCCGTGTTCAAGGTGATATTGTGGTTGAGTGCATTAGCTTGCATGATGACATGGAGCGGGAAGAGATGATGTTTCGATTCATGTTCAATACAGCTTTTATTAGGTCCAATATTTTGATACTTAATCGCGATGAGATTGACGTGTTATGGAATTCTAAAGATCAGTTTCCAAAGGACTTCAGAGCTGAGGTATGTTTCTCCGCAATTGATTCACATTGCTCTTTTGCGGTTCTTTTCTGATGTTCAACGTTTTGGCTTGTTTCCATTTGGATGAAGATTCTTTTCTCCAAGATGGATGCCACAACTTCTGTTGTTGTGCGTAGTATTTCATGCTTCGAGGAAAAGGAGGGCCTTCCAGAAGAAGCATTTTCAAAAGTCCAAGAGATCTTTAGCAATGTGGACTGGTTAGATATCAAGAGTGATGCTACCCTGAATGTGGTCCAACAGATGGGCGCACCCAACATTGTCCATGATAAGTCTGGTACTGATTCTCCAAAGAACACTGAAGCTGAATTATTGAAGTTGCGGGATATAAGTCCAAAAGAGAATCAACCGAAACAGAAACCTGCGAAATTGGAGAATAACAGTAAGAGATTCATCGCTTCAATTAAGATTGATCTTTTGCCTTGTTCACCTAAGCAATCCACAATTATTGATGCGAGTAAAAAGGAGGCAAAGCCCCAGAAAGAGTTACCGGCATCAGTGGCAACAAATCAAAGTTTACATCCTCAAGTTGGCAATATAAAGCCTTCAGAGAAAGACAATGGCTTACCCAAAAGTATGGAAGTCAGTCATCAAATGAATGCATCTCTAGCACTCTCCTTGGCCATTTCACCTGTATCTAAATCCGTGGAATCAAAAAGTGATTCCTTTGCACCATTGACACCGCTACAACCTGATTTGATACGGCCTGACGTGGTTTCCAATACTATAGAAACTCTTCCTTCACAACCACCTCCACCACCACCATTGCCATCTTATCACTTTTCAACTTCAAAATTAGAAAATTCCTCAACTACTGAAGAGATTTCAACAGTTTTACAGAACGGAACTCAGGGATCTATAGCTAGCCCCATATGTGTTCCTGGAACTCAAATTTCGAGTACAATTTCTAGAAATAAGCTGCCTATGGATAATGAAAATTCTTTGTCAATTCAGTCTAGTCAAACTCCATTTGCAATGCCTCCACCACCACCAACCCCTACTCCTCCTCCTCCTCCTACACCGCCTTTAAGGGTAAATATATCTGTTAGAGGTAGACCACCTCCACCACCTCCTCCTCCTGTGCGTCCGCAAAATCCATCTTCGGTGCCACCTCCACCTCCTCCTGTTCCCACCTTTTCATCTAAACAGTCCAACAGCTTGACACAAAATTCCTCTTGTATTCCTTCTCCTCCCCCACCGCCAGCTCCTTTGTTTAAGGGAGTTTCAAAGACTCCATCTCCTACACGGACACTTAGTACTTCCAACAGTGGAAAAGGACGTCTGTCACGTACCATGAGTTCAAAAAGTAGCAATAAGAAACTGAAACCGTTGCACTGGATGAAACTAACAAGAGCAAATCAAGGAAGCTTGTGGGCAGAGGCGAAAAAATTCGGAGCCATGTATGCTCTATAATTCTGCAGAAAAAGTTATATTGTCTGACAAAGTTTTATAGTGACATGCTTCTAGTATCTTAAGCTTGAATTTCTTTTTATTATTTTAACTAGAGCTCCAGAGATTGATATGTCAGAGCTTGAGAATCTTTTCTCGGCAACACTTCCAATTTCAGCTCATGGCAGGAAATCATTCAAGCGCAATTCAGTTGGATCGAAAACTGAAAAAGTGCAATTGGTAATTTATGCTTCAGTTCTTGATAGTGAGCACAATTAGCTTTTTGCTTATCTCTATGTTTATCCCTTATTTTTCTCCTTATTTACCATGCTAAGGTGCAGTATAATTAAGTTCATAGATGAAAAAAAAAGAGAGGAAAAAGAGAAAAAAAAAAAAAAAAAAAAAAAACTTAGCTTGATTGCTTGATTATCATCAATGAAGAATTGTAATTTGTATTTATTTTTGGTTGAACAGGAGGAAGTAGGAAACATTTATAATGACATGATATTCTCTTCCCTCTGCCTTTCACTTTTTTAACAATAATAATCCTGAAAAGTGAACTTATTTACTATTCTTGCTTCTTTCAGCTTGATCATAGACGAGCATACAATTGTGAGATCATGCTCTCGAAGGTGAAAGTTCCATTGCATGTGTTGATGGTGAGCTTCTATAGATATAACTTTTGCACATAATTACTCGGTGATGAATCTAAGCATCAAACTCTGTTCATTTTTATATGCAACAAATTCACAGCCAATGTGTCGGAGCAGTCTAATAACATATACTGTTATCATTCTGAGTCATAATTAGCTTTCAAAGATCTTTCACTCTTATTCTTAATGACTGCGAAGTTGCACTTGACTGGAGCATGTTTTGAACAGAGACGCTTCCCTCGTCTTCTTCCAGATTTTATGGGTTCAGACTAAGATCAAGCAATAATTTCTCATTTATTGCCCTTATTAACAAAGACTGTTTTGTGTCATATTGACAGGATTCAGTGCTTTCCCTGGAAGATTCAATATTAGACGCTGATCATGTTGAGAATCTCATAAAGTTCTGCCCAACACAAGAGGAGATGGAAATACTTAAGGTATCGCAGAGTTTGTAATCGATGACTATTTGTTGCACTTTTCAAGTTATAATTTCCTTTACATATTTCTGTTCAGGGCTACACTGGAGAGAAGGAAAACTTGGGAAGATGTGAACAGGTGTGTAGGGTGTTAATCTTGCTTTTCCTTTCCTCAGCTTATATTATTTTTGGCAATTTGATACGCTTATCTTTGAACAACATGCTTTTATTTTTATTTTTTATTTTTAACTACAACATCAGTATTATTTTTAATTCCATATACACTTTATAGTTTTACGAATGGGTGGTCTAGTTACTGTTGTTTTCACAAAGAGGCACGACCTTTACCTTTTCTTTTTGAACTTAGGGGTGGGGGGATTTGAACTCTATTCTTGTAGTGGAGTTAGGTGTAAAATTACTGCTGGCCGCTGGGCTATGCCTGCAAAATCACAGAAGCACTACTTTTACTTATGCCAAAGGTAAAAGCAAAAAAAAAAAAGAAAATGTTAAAAGTTAATTAAACTAGCTTTTCATAATAAAAACTACATCGGTTCTCTGTAAAATGCTTATGTGCACATTTTACCTAACACCGGTTAAATCCTTTTTGGTTCAAATTGCTTTAGGGTAAAGTTATCCCATTCCGGGCCTTATCCTACATTGATTTATGGATTTCCTCTTATAGGTATAATGCTGCTTTATTTAAGGCTGAAGATTTTTCTGTTCTAACTGAAATTTATTGGTTCCCCAATTAAATAGATTTATTCTATTCGATAACAGTATCAGCTCTGTAAGATGCTATTTATTGGTTAACTTTAGCATAAGTAGACCACCTCTTGATATGAGTATTTAATCGATAGATTGTGTTGTAATCAGATTGCATTGTTTCCCATTACTCATAACACGCATCACACGCAGTAGGGAAGGTCAGGCAGAATAAGTTAGTCTTGTAATTTATTAGCTTTATCTGCATCATTTTTAGAGAAAGTTTGCATATACAAGATTTGGTTCTACGCCAACCAGGACCTTTTTCATTTTATTCTTTTCCTTGAAAAAAGGTAATTATTCTGCTAAAGGTCTTTGATTCGTTAACCTCAAAAGAGGGGCTATTGTAACAGTTCTGCTCAGAGTTGGTATTCAAGGAAATACTTGGGGGGTGTCCTCCTGTGGTTTTAGACTATTCTATATTCTTTTCTCTTGCTGTACATATCATGTCTCTAATCTATATATGTTGTTTTATATAGCGACTTGTTTTTGTCTTTTCTTTTTTTAATCTCATACCTGATAATGAACTTTACTTGCCCTAGACTGAAGCTCATTAACTGTACTTCTCTAACTGCTCAATTTGGAGAAATAAATTGGTGAATTGTTTGATTTGGAATCACTTTCGGCTTTAACCCTTCCCCTTTTTGGCAACAGTTCTTCTTCGGGTTAATGCAAGTGCCACGCGTAGAATGTAAACTTAGAGTTTTTTCATTCAAGATACGGTTCCATTCTCAGGTGAAAACCACATTCCTCAAATCATATTCTATTTTTCTGCAATCCTTAATTCCTTAACTGTATTTTTAGTTGCCGTATAGGTCTCTGATCTTCAAAATAGCCTCAATGTCGTGAACTCTGCATCAGAAGAGGCAAGTAATTCTATTGTGTTCCTTTCTTGTAAGAATTGCATCAGTTTTATTGGATTTTCACAAATCTTACAAGGGTTTTTTTTATCAGATCAGAAGTTCCTTAAAATTAAAAAGAATCATGCAGACAATTCTTTCCTTAGGAAATGCTCTGAATCAGGGAACTGTTCGGGGTAAGTTGAAACTTAATTGACCTTATATCTTGCTGATTTTGTCATTATTTCTACATCATTATACAAAGGGGAGGTGGAAAATTCCATGTGATCAATACTAGCAGTCATTTCACCTTTGAAATACTCATAAGAATGCAAATGGACAAGGCATTCTTCTAAAATAATACGCAGATAAATTATTAGTATTTGACTTTTTTCTTGGGATCCAATTAAAATGCAGGATCCTTTTCAACACTAATGGGCCATCTGTTCATAGGTTTGAACAAAAAGTTTGAACAGACCCATATTTTTGTAAGATTTCAACTCCTTGTTCATTTCGCCGATTCAAATCACATCTCAAGTTTTTGCTACAGTGTTTTCTCTCACAAAAATTCAAATTCAACTTTTTGTGCTACAGTATTTATTCTCACATAAATTCACATTTCAACTCGAATCGGTGAAATGAACAAGGCCTTAGCAAACATTTTAGATTGTGGTTCAAACTGTGAACCAAATGGGCTACGAGCTAATGTTTTAATGTTGAGTTCTTCATTGTAAGAAAATTTCAATTGGTGCAAGTTTCATTGCAACAATGTAATATTTGGTGAGAAAATTTTCAAATGACTTTTCATGGCAAGTCAATGTAGTTTCTGAAAATAAGCTGTTAGGTTTACGTGTTCTAGCTGCACAGTGTATGAGAGGCTTATGGAACTCAATTCTTTATAATTCTATATGGAGAGAAGATGCTAGATGAGCAAAAACTAAAATGGACGTAGCTACAATATTTGTAACATTTTGACTTTATAATATTTCTGATATTATTCATAGTAACTAATTTCATAAAAATCCTCTGTTAGGGTCTGCTGTCGGATTTAAGTTGGATAGCCTTCTTAAACTCACGGAGACTCGTGCACAGAACAATAAGATGACTCTTATGCATTATCTTTGTAAGGTAGAAGATGGTCTCTTCAGTTGGATTGCTTTTGGAATTTAGTAGAAGTTGCTTTTCTGTTTTGAAATCGTGTACAGTTAAATGTTTTCATAACCTGACGATTATGTCGTGAGGAAGGAAAGTGCTTTGATAATTATTAATGTTGGCCCAAGGTTGAATATTCTCATGTTTTGATGATCACAAACACAATGTATTATGTCTCTAATGATTCTATTTTGAGTTGTGTATTTAGCGTAATTATTGTTATAAATCAACTCAAGAAGCATTTTGAGGAATACAATGCAAATACATTCAAGATTGACAAATGCAAATTGAAGAAGGAATTCAAGGCTTGAAGTGCTAAAATATCAAAGATCAAGAGCAAGCAAACACTGGACAAGTACTAATAGTTTTTTTTT